AGTTACACAGAGAGCACACACAACATTACAAAAGTTGGGAATACTGTTAATTTCAAATAGACAATAACCAAAGTGGGACTTTCATGCCAGAAGTCCATTAGTCAAAATCACGATTTGTAAGAACAAGTGGTGCCACTAGTGTCCAAACATATAGCACGATGCCAATCCAACTGGAAGAGATTTTCACCCAGACAGCTGTCCACTGACTTTTCATTTCACGAGAGGGCTCATACCTAAAATTGAGAGAGAACAAAAAAGATAGAGGGGGAAGAGGGCTGGATTATTAACCATCACGTACTAAGCTCGTTAATTCAGAAGTATTTGTTGTTTACGGTTTGTGACATTCACATGTAGTTGCTACATCTAATCTGCTTTGCATTCCACACTGATTTAATAGCTAATGTGAAGATAAAAAGCAGTAATTTCCCTTAATGGAGTAAAGTATTTAGGGCTTTGATGTAGCTGTTTTGAAAAAAATTCTGAACAAGTATGTACTTCCTGCATGAAAGGGAATGAAACCTGTGAATAAAATGTTACTATGACATAAAAGACTGTTCAGAGTATATGTGGAATTCTCCAAACTTACCACCCCATCCCCCACCCCAGCTGGATGGTCAGATCCAACAGACTGGGAAGAAAATATATTCCATATTTAGCTGATTTTCGTGTTAATGAAATATAGAAACTCTGAATTACTGAAAACTACTTGGATTCCTATAGGTTAACATAATGTAGGAATTAAAAAAAATACTTTTCAATAAAATAATCAGTGAAGGCTATTCACAAGAAAAACTAAATAATTTTTCTCTATCTTTTGCTGGTACTAAAACACATGACTTAACGGTATTATGATTTAAAACATACATGCCACAATAATATAGTCTAATTGGTTCTAGTTAACACTAGAACCTTTCAGTAATCATTTAGACAAAACCAGAATTGGAATAAAATGAAATACCATAAATTGCTACTTTCTTCTTACCAGAAGATTTATGACTAGTTTTACATGTATTTAAAAAGCATTAGTTTTGAAGAATTGTAAGAATCCAAATAAAAAATGTACAAATCTTTTAATTAATGACAGTAAAATGAAATAATGTATCTTTTACTGTATATCAGGAACAGGTTTACAGTACTAAAAACAAAAATAAACACGTTAAATTGACATGGGTTTCTGTAAAGTGTTGGTTTTACAAGGTTTTCTATTTTAACCCTTCAAGATTTGGAATTGTTTTTACTGTTTCTGTTATTAAAGAAGCAAAGTCTTCATTTCACATGCTGGTCTTACTATTCACTGAGCTACAAATTTTGAAATATATTAGAGGATAAAAAGTATTTTACATCACATTATGCTTTACAACAGAAGGAAAAAGCCATTGGAATTCCATACCCAAAGTTTTCATGAAATGTTAAGTACCTGTACCAGTTGGTAAGGGTCATCATGATATAAAGTGAAGCCAGGAAAAGCATGAAGTGAAAGAAGGAGTAACTGTAAGTGACACCATCCCTTTCATTATCTACAGCTCGGTGAACATCATCGCCATCCTCCAATGAGCCATCACTTCTAGCTCCACCATCTTCTATTAATGTTGATTCATCACTTGTTAGAGTCAGTTTATTAACCTGACTATTGTTTGAGGTACGGATGCTACATGAAAGTGAAATAATAAAAGGGATTTTTTTAAGTAAGTGATTCGTAATTCAGTAGATGGACTTCCAGTTAAAAAAAATTCGTGGCTTTTCTTACCTTGAATAAAACACACACAATAAAAAGAGGATTAGTCCTATAATTCCTTGAGCATGCCACCACTGGACAGACTGACCTTCTTTTGGGATTGTGCTT